CTTAAAAAGAGAAAGAAATCCAGGAACTATTGCAAGGCATATAAAAAGTGAAGGTGGGGCCAACCCGCTGGTGCTGTGGTTAAGTTCACCCATTCTGCTTCGGTGGTCCGGGGTTTGCCAGTTCTGATTCCGGGTGCGAACCTACACACTGCTTAGCAAGCCATGCTGTGGCAGGCATCCCACATATAAAATAGAGGAAGGTGGGCACGGATGTTAGCTCAGGGCCAGTCTTCCTCAGCAAAAAGAGGAGGATTGGCAGCAGATGTTAGCTCAGGGCTAATCTTCCTCAAAAAAAAGAAAAAAGAATAAATGCTGGGGCTGGCCCTGTGGCCATGTGGTTAAGTTCACGTGCTCCACTTTGAGTCCCAGGGTTTCACCAGCTTGGATCCTGGGCCGTGGATATGGCACTGTTCATCAAACCATGCTGAAGTGGCATCCCACATGCCACAATTAGAAGACTCTACAACTAAAAATATACAACTATGTGCAGGGGGCGCTTTGGGGAGAAAAAGGAAAAATAAAAATCTTTTTAAAAAAAGTGAAGGTGATTATAAAAGAAGTTGGTAAAATTGTTTTAATAAATAAAAGGTTGGGGCTGGCCCCATCGCCAGGTGGTTAAGTTTGTGTGCTCCACTTCGGTGGCCCGGGGTTCCCCGGTTCGGATCCTGGGAGCAGACCTACTCACTGCTCATCAAGCCATGCTGTGGTGGTGTCCAACATAGAAGAACTAGAATGACCTACAACTAGGATATACAACTATGTACTGGGGCTTTAGGGAGGAAAAGAAAAAGTGGAAGATTGGCAACAGAAGTTAGTTCGGGGCCAATCTTAAGGAAAAAAAAAAAAGGAAGAAAAAAATAAATAAAAGGCTAAGACCAAAGAAATGAAGAAAACAAAAGAATGTATACATCGTATCCCAGAATTTAAATTCTGTTAAAAATCATACTTATCATGTTGTCTGGCCTCAACACAATAATGTTATATATCAATAACAAAAACATAAGTTAAAAATCCCACAAATTTGCAAAGTAAAAACATACCACTAAATGGTATTGGGTTACAGAAGAAATCTTAATGAGCATATAAAGATAACCAAAACTACATGAAAATATGAATACTACCGAAGAAAAAAAGTAAGGATGCAGCAAGAGTCTTACTTGGAAAATTTTATACCCTTAAATATTTACAGAAGAGAGGAAGAAGGGTTGAAAATTATTCAGTCTGAATTTAACTTTTTAGTTAGGAGAAGAATGACACACTAAACTCAAGGTAAGTAAAAATAAAGATATAATTAAGAACAGAAGTCAATTTACTGCAAACAAAGATAAAATAGAGAACAAAACAAAAACTGATTCTTTGAAAAAAAAACTAACAAGGTAGATAATCTCTCAAAAGATTGTCAAGGGAAAAAAGAAGGCAAAAGCAAATAATAATATGAATGAAAAGGGGAACATGACTGCAGATAAAACAGATTTAAAGACAATATCAACAATTATATGCCAAGAATTTTAAAAACATAGATGAAATGAATACATTTCTGTAAAAATATATTAAAACTGACTCAAGAAATTTTTAAATACCTGAAATTTCTGGACCTGATTAATAAAACTCAAACAGTAGTTTATAGCCTTCTCATAAGGAGAAAATCAGACCCACATCACTACTAGCAAGCTCTATGAAACTTTCAAGGAAATTATCCTAAATATTATACAAACATTTATTGTGGTACAAATATTCATAACATAAAATTTACCATTTTACCTATTTTTAAGAGTACAGTTCTGTAGCGTAACGTACGTTCATATTATTGTACAGCCGTCGCCACCATCCATCTCCGGAAAGTTTTCATCCTCCCCAACTGAAATTCTGTGCCCGTTAAATACTAACTCCTCAGTGCCCCCTTCCACCAGCATCTGGCAACCACCGTTCTATTTTCTGTCTCAATGAGTTTGACTCCTCTAGGGATCTCATATAAGAGGAATCATACAATGTTTGTCCTTATGTACAAACTTTTTGAGACATTTGAAAGAGAGGGAATATTTCCAAATCTTTTATTGAGGCCAGTGAAAACCAGACATTAAAAGCAGACAAAGGCATTTGGAAAAAGAAAATGACAAGGCCTTTTTCTTCCTGACTCTAGATGGAAAAGTTCTAAGCAAAATTTTAGCAAATTGAGTTCAGTCATGTATAGGAAGGATAAAGCACAATGACTAAGCTGGATTAATCACGGGTTTACAAGGATTCATGTTAATAAACTTTTTAAAATTTTAGAATAGTTTTAGATTTATAGAAAACTTGTGAAGATAATACAGAGAATTCCCATATACCTCATACCCAGTTTTGCCTATTAATATCTTATGTTAGTATGGCACTTTTGCCACAATTAATGTATCAATATGATATATTAGAATTAACTCAAGTCCATTCTTTATTCAGATTTCCTTAGTTTTACCTCATGTCCTTTTTTTGTTCCAGAATCCCATCCAAGATACTGCATGACATTTTAATTGTTGTGTTTCCTTCGTCTCCTCTTGGCTGTGACTATTTCTCAGACTTTCCTTGCTTTTGATTATCTTAATAGTTTTGAGGAGTACTGGTCAGATATTTTGCAGAATTTTCCCTTATTTTGGATTTGTCTGATGTTTTTCTCATGATCAGAAAGGGATTGGCAAAGTGCCACGCTCACCACATCACATCAAGTGTATATGCTCACTGTTGATGTTGACCTTGAGCACCTGGCTGAGGTCGTGTTTGTCAGGTTTCCCCGCTGTAAAGCGATTCATTTCCTCCTCTTCCATCGCAGTACTCTTTGGAAGAAAGTCACTGTGTGCAGCCCACACTGGAGCAGTTATGTTTCACCTCCTTGAAGATGAAATATCTACATAAATTACTTGGAATTATTTTGTATAGGAAATTGGTCTCTTCTTCCGTATTATTCAGTCATTTATTTAGATCCGTATGTACTCATGGATATTTATTTTATATTTTCAGTTATAATCTGATACTACTTTATTTGTGTGTGCTGAAATTTTTCTACCTTTGGCCATTGGGAGCTCTTTCACTTGCCGCCTGTGTCCCTTTGACATGCTTCTATCATTGTGGGTTGGGTTTTTTGTTGTTGTTAGTTTGTTTTCAGCACTTTCTTACTTTCTAGGACTACAGGGTGCTCGAGCTTATCTTGTGAGCTCATCAGTGAGAAAAAGGCAAATAAAGCAATATAAAAATAAGCAAATCTTGAATAAGTACTTCACAAGACAGGAACTTTAGTTGGCCAATGATCAGTAAAAGCTGCTCAACTTAGTAATAAGGGAAATGAAAATTAAAATCGTGGAGAATTTAAATATCTACTAGATTAGCAAAAATGAAAAATCTGACAATACCAACTGTTGGCAGGCAAGGATGTGGAGCAAAGGGAACTCTCAAACGTTGCTGGCCAGCCTGTAAATTGGTATGACTACTTCTGAATGTTTGACATTATCTTTAAAAAAATATGTAGATAAACAGATGGAGATATGCATGCCCTATGACTCGACAACTTCTCTCACTGTTATGTACCCAAGGGAAACTTGTGTTTCTGTGCACCAAGATAAATATTTAAGAATATTCATAGCAGCTTTGTTCATAATAGATAAAATCTGGAAACAACCCCAATATTCAGCAACAGAAGAATGGATAAAGTGTGGGATATCATATAATTATATACTAAACAGTAGGGAACAAACTGCAGCAAGGTGCAACAATTTGGATGTATCTTAAGACTATAATGTTGAGAAAAGGAGGCAAAACACAAAGGAATATATAACATTTAATTCCATTTATATGAAGTTCAAAAACAGGCAAAACAAAATCAAATTGTTTAGGGATGTATGCTTAGGTAGTAAAACCATAGAGGAAGCCAGGCTGTTATTACCATAAGAGTTAAGGTATTATTTCCAGTGGAGCAGAAGGGGTTTGCGATATGGACAGGATGCAAAGGGGCCTTCTGCTTGATCACTTTCTATTGTTATTATACTGTGCATTTATGTTTTATGTACTTTTCTATGTGTCATATTTTATAGTAAAAGGATTTTTTTAAAGTGAAAGCACAGAATTACATATATGATCTATAATAAAATAATGAATAAAAATAACCTATAAAACTATTGTTAAAATAACTTGTTATGTATGACTACTCAGATTTGTGTGTGCACAATTTTATATGTTTTTTCATATAAACAAGGAGGAAGATATGGAATGTAATTTGTACGACAGAATGCAATATATTGGTTTTACCTGGGGTGAGAGGAGAAGCAAAAAACAAAGCTGTCCATAATAAAAAAAAACAGCATGCATGATATAATCCATTTATGTATGTGTGTGTGTGTGTGTATGTATATACACGTATCCCATACATACCATACATATATATATACCGTAAAAATTATTGAAAATTGATCATTAATATGTTAATGAGAGATATGTTTTTAATTTGTTTATCTATATTGCTTGAAGTTTTCTACTATAAAAATGTATTGCTTAAATAACCATGAAAAGTAGTGGGGGAAGTAGGACAAAAAGGGGGAAGAAAAGTAGAATCTGGGATTTTGGACAAGAATCCAGCGTCTAAAATACTTTATTGGAGAGATTTTCAAGGCATATCTTCCCATCTCGACAGTATACACACACACACCTTCATTTTTTTAATTAAAAAAATAATTTAAACTTATTTCCCAAAGTGAATCACCTTAGAGAGATGGGAGATAGGAATTGAACACCCAAGTCTGTGTGATTCCAAATTTCATGTTCTTTCCATAAAGCAAGCACCATGAAGAAGACCTCACTGCTCTGGTGGTGCAATTCAGGTTGAATGGAGGGCAAAAGAGAAAAACCCAGGAATGGGATGATTTCTAGATATTTGTATCTAATTTTTCAGGTATTTAAAAAAGAAAGTGAATTTTAAAGTGAAAAGACTTTCTAGGAAAGAAAGAAACCAAACCACTGATTTTCCCCTCCTTCTTTAGGACTCTTCGGAAGAGACTGAAGAAGGCATTGATGACTTAGTGTCCTCCGGGTTTTCTGCAAATACCCACAGTCTAGCAAGTGGCCTGTCAACCGTAAGCAGTTCTCTAGCACACACTGGAAGTTTCTTCTTTGTATTGTTGATTTTCTGTACATTTCCAAAAGAGATAGGAATGTTCTAGGGAAAATGTATGATAGTGAATTATAAGTCATTATAGTCTCCTGTGTGCCCTTTGCCCACAGAGTACTTTTTGGTCTAATTTTGTTGTTCTTCCTAAGGCTCCTGATTCCTTCTCCCTCCTTCCATGGTCTTCACCCAGGTTTTAAAATGTCTTCATTCTTTAGTTCAGGCTCTCATCAGCTCAAGCCTATAAATTATCTCAATTCTCTGCTGATACGTTTCCCTGCCACCATTCTCTCAACTCCCCAACTGTCCTCCACACTGCGGCCAATCATTTTCCTGAGACACATACCCAGTCAGCTTTCTCTCCTACTCAGACACCGTCCATAGCTTTCCACTGCCTACAGAGTAAAGTCCCTTCTTACTTTAGTGTTCAAGGCTTTCCTTGAGAGGTAGTCTTTAGGAGCCTCTGTGTCCTTGTACCCGTCTATGTGCCTATAAGTCTTTTTCTTTGCTTCTCTGATTTCTTTCTGTTGCTCTAATACCCTTTTTCCTTTTGACCTCTGGGCAACTTCCTTAAAGAATTCTCAAGCGGGCTCTGACAGGAAGTGGACCTACCTAAATGTGCCTGATGCTGACTCAGACACTGTGAGTTTTCAATCTTTCCTTTTCCTTCTTTCCAACCATACTTCACAAATTTCATGATATGGGAAATCTGATTAGGTGGGCAATTTTTCCAGCATTTCTCTTATTCTGACTTGTGTACAATTAACCAGAGGTTCTCCTTTAAAAGCTAAATACCATTATCAGAATCCAAGTATTCCAAAGAAAGAGTGTTCGTTAAACATTAGAATCTGAGTACCAGTCAAAAGACACTTGGTCCAAAATGATATACCATTAACAAGATAACTTAAAATAAACATCTCTATTTTAAATCACAGCATTGGCTTTGTTAATAGCATAAAATTTGGTTAGCAGTAAAATAGTCTTAACTGCCTTAATTTCTCCCAAGCTTCAGCATCTGTGGGTTCTTAAATTTTCTTCCATCCACGGGGGCCCCTGCTTACAGACAACCTTCTTTGAAGATGTGGCTACAGAGGGATGTGGTGTAGACACAAGTTAGTGACACAAGGAGGTAGTGAGAGATGGTGGGAGGTCCTCAGACTAAAAATCTGGAGATCTTGCTTTATGTCTTGGCGCTGCCAACAATTTCTGTGAGCCAGAGTTTTCTTGTATGTCACATGAAGGGGTTAGAGCTTATTCTTGAAGTCCTTGAAACTCAAATCGTAGTCCATGGACAAGCAATATTGCATCACCTGGGACAGAGACTCAGACTTTGTCAGTTCACAAAGCCCCTAGTGTCTTAATGATTCTTTCATAGCACTCCTAGGCCAAAAGTAACACCTGAGTAGCCCATTTATTAAGTCATTAGGTCAAAGAAACTTAATAAGCACTGGTATCCTAACAACTTAGTAGCCATTTGAAAAAATAATACACATAAACTGAAAAGAAAAATAGTGTTTGTATTCCATTCTTAAATAACCCCTAATACTTACTCTTGGGATGTGTCTGCCTGTTGGGCACTGCACGACTTGTCAAATCTTGGAATCTGATTGGACAGCACCACTTTCATTTCCTGTTCCATGGTGATTTTTGTACAATACTTTCTTTTGTCACAGCAACTGCCAAAAACTCAGCTTCACGCGGATAGAACTTCACTGAAAAGAATAAGGTGTGATTTAACGTTAACGCTGTGAACTACTGTTAGTAGTTTGCATGGTGTCTGACAGATGTCACTGTCTTTCCCTTGACATTTTAAAATATCCTGTGGTGCCCCTGTGAGTTTACTGTGGTGCTCTGGAATGCCTCGATACACAGTTTGGGAACTGTAGATCTAGGCGTTTGTTAGAAAAGCAGATTCTCAGACCCCACCTGAGACTGAATAGATCAGAATTTTCATTTTAATAAGATCCCCAGGTGATTTATATGCAATTAAAGTTTGAAAGGCACTGCTCAAAGTCACCTGCTATCATGAAAATTCTGTTGTTTAGGGAATAGGAAAGACAAATGAGGTCACTCACTGGCTCTCTTTAAGTTATAATTTCCAAATAATTATGGAATCTTTGGTTTGCTGTTGCCCTTGGCTTAAGCTTAGAAGAGATACTACACATCCTGTTCTTTGAGCTGTCTCTACTCTGAGCAATTGGAGGAATGTAATGACTTTTGTTAGGTATATATGAAAAAGTAGAGAGTCTAAGCTCTCTTTGCACTCACCGCAGTCCTTATTTCCCAGTGGTTCACACACAGGGCTTTGGAAACTACTAGATCACTCATGAAAGCCTTCCACCTGGTCTTTTGTGACAGTTGTGTTGCTAAGATACAGAGTTTGTGCTCCTGGCACTGAAAGATAATTTTGTTAAATTTAATTTAAAATATGTGTCTTTATCATTAGTGTCTTGTCATAAACTTCATTTATTCTGGTAGATTTGGTCTACCAGAATTTTTTTATTTAATTTTTTTATTTAAAATTTTTTATTATAAATTTTAACTTATTTAATTTTTATTTAATTTATTGGTTGGTGTATTATTTTATTGTTTAATGTTCTATTTTGTTGGTTGCTATTTTACAGAGGTTTACAAAGCCCTGGTCTTACACTACCCATGTGGCCACACAGCTGCTCAGGGGAATCAGGGCAGCTGCGGGTGTAGGATGTTCCCCTGGCATGCCCTTGTTAAGGTGAAGTTACGGCTTCCCAGAGCCTGATGGTATGCTCTCTGTGGGTGTCGGAGAGAGAAGCCTGTGGCTCATGCTGGCCCAGAATATGAGATAAGCTTTTCTTTGTCCTGATCAGTGCATTCTGGACCTTGAAGTAGATTTGACCTTGAGTCTACCAGTGAAAAAGGAAAAAGCTACAGAGATGGGGCTAGGAAATGGGGATGGGGATGGAAATGCCTCAATGACCCTGTATTCATTAGAAGAAATGAATAAACAAGGGGTATTCACTAACCCAAAAAGGCAATGCTTCCCCTCTCAGCAAGTTTCCTGCCTTCCTTACTAATTGTCCTAGATCTTGTCCCTTATCAGGCTTGGATTTCATACAAGAACAGCAAAATGAGCAAAACAAGTGATTTTTGCTTTCTTCCCTCACCCTAGACTTTCCTGCTCATTATAAAGAACAGGAATAGTCTGTGAATGAAGAGGGTAGCTTCTGTGTGAGAGATCATTAGAAAAACACCGGACATCTCTTTTCATCTTGTTTATTCCAGACCAGCCTTAACAGCATGATGAGTGTTTACAGTGAAACAGGAGACTATGGCAACGTGAAGGTCAGTGGTGAAATCCTTCTCCGCATCAGCTACTGCTACAAAACTGGCGGGCTCTACATTTTTGTCAAGAATTGCAGAAATCTGGCCATAGGAGATGAAAGGAAACAGAGGACAGATGCGTAAGCACATAGCATATTCCTCAGACTGTTTCAACTACTGCATCCTTTGTCAGTATGTGTGTTTCTCTTTCAGAAGAGTCTTAGCATTCCTCTTGATTCAGAGCCTTCTCAGATGATTGTCGCTTTCCTCCTATGCCACACTTCTAAATATTCTCTGAAGTGCATGTATGATGGTTATGTCTGTGGTTACCTGACTTGTAAAAAGCTGTTACTCAACATGATTCTGGACTGACATGTTTGCAGTTTATACAGAGGCAGCTCTTTGAGATAGAAGGCTGATGCATTGGCGCACCCCAGGATCTATAAGAGTATCCTGTTCAATTTTTGTGCTGTGAAACCCTCCAGAGAAAATTACCAAGCTGTAAGCCCAATTGAACAACTCCAAAGGGCAATGTGGGGGCTCTCAGGATTCCGGGGGTCAACCTTGGAAGGCAGGTATGGACCATGGCACGTTGGAGGGGAGCTGGATATAAAGATGTGTCAGGGGTTCCCGAGACCACTCCCAGGTTTGATGATTCACTAATAGGACTCACAGGACTCCACATGAAGTCGTAATCAGCAAAGAGAAAAGGCATATGTGGCAAAGTTCTGAAGAATCCAGGCTTAGGCTTCCAAGTGTTCTTTCTCAGTGGAGTCACACAGGATGTGCTTAATTCCTCCAGCAATGAGTTGTGACAACACTTGTGAAATGCTGTCTACCCGGGAAGCTCATTTAGAGACTCAACTGGTCGCAGACCAAAATTCCAGTCTTCCAGAAGGAAAGCAGGTGTTCAGCATAAGCCATATTGTTTTTACAAATAGTTTAGTCACAGTGAAGCACTTATATCTGTTCTGGGAAAGATGAACATACTCCTGAAATCCAAGTTCTCAGATGCCAGCCCAGGGGGCCAACCTTGTAAGCAGGCATTTCTAAGGATAGCAGTCTCAGGCCTGCTCTGTTACCCCTTTTCTACGTAATAAATGATCGAGGTTCAGTAAGCAACTCAGTGAAGCTGTTTTTAGTGTCCTAAGATAGGCAAATGAATGGATTCCAAGTACAGCTTGGTCCACCTACCTCTCAGCTAAATATCAGAGGGCTTCAGAGTCAATATAATCATTTAGACTAGCATGGAAAGGGGTCATGTCATCTAAAGCCTCAGTAGATGTGTTTCAAGACTCTGGTAGTATCTTGTACACCTCAATCTTGTACATTTCTGAGTCTGCCGTGATGCCCCTGCTCCAAGAGGCTCCTAAGCTACTCGAGGAAAGGTGTTGGGTAGAATTGCTATTGTGACTTCAGGTTGTTATTTTCTATTTCTTCTTTTTTACCATTTTTCTTCATTCACCCATTACCATTGACTCCACTCATCAGAAGTCCTGACATCTGAATGGGGAGGAGCATAGCCCTATAATATTTTATGAAACCATTAATCATAATAATAGATTACATTTATTGAGTAGTATAATATGTCAGTTCCTTGTATGTATCAACCAATTTAATCCTCCCAATGCCGTAAGTTAGATACTGTTATTGTCCCAGGTTTACAGATGAGGAAACTGAGGCATAGACAGGTTAACTTAAGTTCTTGAGTTCACCGAAACCACTGAGGCCTGGAGTGATTCAAAACCAGTTGGCTTGACTCCAGAGCCCATACTCTTTACCACATGGTTCACTGCTTCTCTCTTATTGAAGGCCCAGGGTTATATTGCAAGGTATCCTTTTATGTAGACTGCATTCTCTTTGGTTCTGTCTCTTATGCTCACTTACCTATTCCCTTTGCCCCTTTTATTCGTGGAGTCCCTGAGCATTTCTTGCAAAGTAGATGTTTTTGAACAATTGCTTTCATCTTTTATCATCTACAGTTACGTCAAGTCATACCTTCTCCCTGACAAGTCCAGAAACAATAAGCGCAAGACCAAAATCAGAACAGGCACCAATCCAGAATTCAATGAAACACTCAAGGTAAATAAATACTCTCTCACAGTAACTCAAGTGATGCTGTCACAACCTCATCAGTTTTGAAGTAACTACAGAGAATTTGCCTGTCAAGGCTTACGTATATTTTAGAAAAGTAGAATTTCAATAAATTAATGTAATACCCCTGGCTTTTCTAACAGTTTTTCAAAAGGAAAAAATGTAAACCACTCTTACTCTATTTCTCTGCCGCTGCTGAAATTGCACCTTAAGTAGCGATGATCTTGCAAAATTACATCTGAGCTGGTACATCTTGTCAAAAAATATGTTTCACCCTTGGGAAAACTCTATTTTTTCTAGTTCCCCTTAAAAGAATTTTGTCATAATTTTGACACTAACTTAGCAGGTCACTTTGTACATGCTCATTGTTCTGCTAACACACCATGAATATGTGCTTTTCCTTGTTAAGGTTTCAGAATTTGGCTAAATTTAGGCATGTGGTTAATGAACAGTGGAGCTGCAGGGCTGGATTTGAGAAATATCAGAGAAAGTGGCCTAGATAAGATATGGATGGCCAGGTCCCAATCGTGGAGAAATTACTTTTTCCCATGGGCTTCCATGTAACAACCCCTTCTTCCATCCTGGACCAATCTAGCCTGGTAAGAAAGATCTGGAGACACTGGAATGTAGAAGTTATTGCTAGTCACAGGGAGATTTATAGACCTGTGCACAGAGTGATGAAGTCAGAGTCCACCATAGCAGGAAGTTGGTGATGGGGACATGTGTTAGTGGGGTTATGTGTGGAAGCAGGAACCAATATCAAGATAAATCAAAATGAGGATGAATAAATACAGACAGAGGGTGAATCCAGTGACCATAACAGGATAGCAAAGATGAGCCCAAGCAGAATAGATAGTGACATGGCAAATTCAGGAAGCAGGGAGCCAAGGTTAGTCAGGCCAGGAAGAGAAAAGGCAGGTATAGATGCAAATCCAAGATCAGCAGTCAGTCAGTCAGTCTGAAGCGAGTCCCAGGTGGTAGTTGCATAGAACAAGTAGGGTTGAGAGTGTGTGGACATGTGGCCCTGGATAACGTTCTGCTGAAAAAGGAAAAGCTACCCCAGCAATATTTTCTTTCTGCTCCATCTATGTATATATCTATTCACCCCTGCACTTAGGTTGGACTTTATGAAGTTTGGTGTTTGTAAGTTTCTCACTATCAATACTCTTCTGGATTTGGGGATTCTCGTTATGAATAAAATAAGACAGAGAAATTAGAGAACTGATGTATTAAATCTTGAACTTACAGAGTAGATGTTGAAATAGTAATTAGGCAAATCAAAAACGGATAAAACTTGAGACAAACTTCATCACCTAACACTTTTTATGTTATATCTGAAGTTGATTGACTCCGCCCGAAATAATTTGTTGATATATATTTCAGTGCTAGGTCTAACATAAAATGAGTTCATGGAATAGGATCTCAGTTGTAGCAGAAAGAAAGAAAAATAAAGTGTTTTTCATGTTTGTTTTGTTCATATTACTGATGCATGTGATCTGGTATATGGTGGAAATAAATTTCAACCCGTCCTAGAATTGAGCAAAGCCCTTCTTGTGGAGTGTGATGTTGTAAATCTCATTTGCAGTACACCATCAGCCATACCCAGCTGGAAACAAGAACTCTGCAGCTCTCAGTCTGGCATTATGATCGATTTGGACGTAACAGCTTTCTTGGGGAGGTGGAGATTCCTTTTGACTCATGGAACTTTGAAAATCCAAGTGATGAGTGGTTTGTGCTTCAGCCCAAGGTAGGAAATGCTTCCAGATTAGTCACACAGTTACGCAAGGAGACAAGTTATGAGAAAAATTGATGTCACAGGCCTAAAGAATCTGAAGACTTCCAGTTTTCAAGTGATAATCTGAAAAGATTAGTGCAGCTAATTTTGGAATAATATAAGAATTGTAAATTTATTCTTTTGGATATCCTTCTTCAATACAGACTGTCGGTATAACGCAAGCCACATAATCAGATATATTATTATTTGACTTACTAAAATTTTATCATTTGAAAGTCTCCATGAGTAAACAAAAGGAATATATTATATGATCCTATTAGAAAGAGAAAGCATTCGTTTTCGCATAGGCAAAAACAAATCCATAGAGCAAGATCAGTCTCAGAGCATTCTCTCTGTTCCTCATTCTCCACGATTCAGACGTGAGCAGGAATGGTCTTGCCTTGGTTCACGTGAGAAAGTGACCAGTAGCTGAAGTATCTGGTTTCCTGCATTCTACTTTTGAGGTTCATAACCCGGATTCATAACACATAAACTACTTTTTAATGCTGTAACAGTGGTTTATAACATTATATAAATTTCAGGTGTCCATCATATTTTGATTTCTGTGTAGATTACGTCATGTTCACCACCCAAAGACTAATTAAAATCCATCACCACACACATGTGCCTAATTACCCCTTTCTCCCTCCTACCCCCACCCTTGCTCTCTGGTAACCACCAATCCAATCTCTGTCTCTATGTGATTGTTTGTTGCTGCTTTTATCTTCTACTTATGAGTGAGATCATATGGTATTTGACTTTCTCCCTCTGACTTATTTTGCTTAGCATAATACCCTCAAGGTCCACCCATGTTGTCACAAATAGCTGGATTTCATTGTTTCTTATAGCTGAGTAGTATTCCATTGTGTCTGTATACCACATCTTCTTTATCCATTTGTCCCTTGATGGGCACCTAGGTTGCTTCCAAGTCTTGGCTATTGTGACTAATGCTGCAATGAACATAGGAGTGCACGTATCTTTATGCATTCATGTTTTAATATTCTTTGGGTAAATACCCAGCAGTGGAATAGCTGGATCATACGGTAGTTCTATTCTTAATTTTTTGAGAATCTCCATACTGTTTTCCATAGTGGCTGCATAAGTTTGCACTCCCACCCGCAGTGTATGAGAGTTCTCTTCTCTCTACATCCTCTTCAACACTTGTTACTTCCTTTCTTGTTAATTATAGCCATTCTGATGGGAGTGAGGTGATATCTCATTGTAGTTTTGACTTGCATTTCCCTAATAGTTAATGATCTTGAACATCTTTTCATGTGCCTGTTAGGCATCTGTATATCTTCTTTGGAGAAATATCTGTTCAAATATTTTGCCCATTTTTTAATTGCGTTGTTGTTGAGACATATGAGTTCTTTGTATATTTTGGGTATTAACTCCTTATCAGATATATGGTTTGCAAATATTTTCTCCCAGTTATTAAGTTGTCTTTTCGTTCTGTTGATGGTTTCCTTTGCTTTGCAGAAACTTTTTAGTTTGATGCAGTCCCATTTGTTTATTTTTTCTATTGTTTCCCTTGTCCCGTCAGACATGGTACTTGAAAATATGCTGCTGACTGGTGGTGCAGCAGTTAACTGTGCACGTTCCACTTCGCGGCCCAGGGTTGGCAGTTTGGAGCCAGGTGTGGACCTGCACACCACTTGTCAGGCCATGCTGTGGCAGGCATCCCACAAATAAAGTAGAGGAAGATGGGCACAGATGTAAGCTCAGGGCCAGTCTTCCTCAGCAAAAAGAAGAGGATTGATGGCAGGTGTTAGCTCATGGCTAGTTTTCCTCAAAAAATAAAATAAAATAAATAAAAGTTACCATCACAAGAAAATATTTTGAAACTATGTATGGTGATTGATGTTAACTAGAATTACTGTGGTGATTGTTTTGCAATATATACAAATATCAAATCATTGTTTGCACTTGAAACTAATATAAAGTTATATGTCGATTATACCTCAATAAAAAGAGATTAATAAAAAAAAGAGACTATGCTGCTGAGACCAATGTGAAAGAGCATACTGCCTATGTTTTCTTCTAGAAGTTTCATGATTTCAGGTCTTACATTCAAGTATTTAACCCATTTTGGGTTGATTTTTGTGCATGATGTAAGGGAATGGTCTACTTTCATTCTTTTGCATGTGGCTGTCCAGTTTTCCCAACACCATTTATTGAAGAGACTTTCATTTCTCCATTGTATGTTCTTGGCTCCCCTGTTGAAAATTAGCTGTCCATAGATGTGTGGGTTTATTTTTGGGCTCTTAATTCTGTTCCATTGATCTGTGTGTCTATTTTTGTGCCAGTATCATGCTGTTTTGGTTACTATAGCTTTGTAGTATATGTTTAAATCAGGGAGTGTGATGCCTCCAGCTTTGTTCTTTTTTCTCAGGATTCCTTTGGCTATTCCGGGCCGTTTGTTGTTCCATATAAATTTTAGGATTCTTTGTTCTATTTCTGTGAAAAAATGTTGTTAGAAATTTGATAGGCATTGCATTGAATCTGTAGATTGCTTTAGGAAGTATGGACATTTTAACCGTGTTAGTTCTTCCAATCCAAGAGCATGGAATATCTTTCCATTTCTTTGTGTCTTCTATTTATTTCAGCAATGTTTTGTAGTTTTCAGTGTACAGATCTTTCACCTCTTTGGTTAAGTTTATTCCTAGGTATTTTATTCTTTTTGTTGCAATTGTAAATGGGATTGTATTCTTAATTTCTCTTTCTGCTACTTTGTTGTTAGTGTATAGAAACGCAACTGATCTTTGTATGTTGATTTTGTATCCTGCAACTTTACCATACTCGTTTATTATTTCTAAAGGTTTTTTGGTGGATTCTTTAGGGTTTTCTATATATAAAGTCATGTCATCTGCAAATAGTGACAGTTTCACTTCTTCCTTTCCAATTTGGATCCCTTCTATTTCTTTTTCTTGCCTTGTTGCTCTGGCTAGGACTTCCAATACTATGTTAAATAAGAGTGGTGATGGTGGCCATCCTTGTCTGATTCCTGTTCTTAGAGGGATGGCTTTCAGTTTTTCTACATTGAGAGTGATATTAGCTGTGAGTTTGTCATAGATGGCCTTTATTATGTTAAGGCACTTTCCTTCCATACCCATTTTATTCAGTTTTTATCATAAATGTATGCTGTATCTTGTCAAATACTTTCTCTGCATCTATTGAGATGATCAAGTGATTTTTATTCTTCATTTTGTTAATGTGGTGTATCACGCATAACCCAGGTCTTGAGTTATATTCAGAAAAACAATCTCAAAGCTTGTTCTATAAATTAAATGCCAATATAAAATGTTCTAAACTAGACCAACAGTACCTTGGATTCACTCTATGCAACTGGAGTCTCTCCAGAGTTATTTTTTAAGTCAAAAGTGAGGTGAAATAAGGTCACATTTATGTGAGCAAAGATTGTTCTTTAGATAGATCCTCACTTCACAACTGTGCCTCTGGCAAATTGCTTACCTTCCCAGGCCTTGGTGTTCTCATTGGTGATATAATAATTGGACAGAGCTTATAGGGATGCTGTGGGGCTTGAATAAGCATTCTATGTGGTGCTCACAGTATTGTGTCAGGCACATTGTAAAACTCTCAATAAATGCTAGGTAGTATTTATATTAGCTTGGAGTCCTTCTATTGCAGTTGACAGAAACTTCCACTCATACTGCTTAAAAGATAAAAGGAAATTATTGGCCAGTGATTATCAAGCATGGCTTGATCCAGATGTTCAAATCTTATCAAGGCCCTGGAGTATCTTGGTTTCTCTTTGCTGTGTTGGCTTTATTTTCAGACTTCACACAGTGCTGACCACCCTTGCTAGCTCCAGGTATGCTTCTCTTGGAATAGCTGCAAGCCTCTCATCCTTGTACCACACTATCCAGGGTAGTGGAGACTTCCTCCTCCTCCACCAGTCTGATCAGTGCCCTGGGCATGGTTCTCCTAATTCTAATTACGTTATTTTGCCCATCCTGAGCTAATCACAGTGGCCAGGAATGTGAGATGCATTGGCTGGCTTAAGGCAATCAGAACATACCCTGGTCCTGAAGGTGGTATTGTGCCAAAGGAAATCCAGGTACAGTAGTACTAAAGGAATGATGCTAGACAGCAAGAGCAAGCGTTGATCATCACCACCAACAACAAATGTTGATCATCATTAATGGCAGTATTTTTCACATCTAATGGTTATAACCACCACTGTGGGGTAGGTATCCTTATCCCCACTTTATATGAGGAGACTGGGACTCAGAAGTTAAATACAACTTTCTGGTGGGATTTTATAACTGTTGACCTCAATCTTGGTGTAAGTAACTCGTGGAAAATCTTTAGGAGGTGTAATTGGGCTGTGGATGAAATAGAATAAAAATCCTTAAATATAAAATAACTGCAAGCTGATAACTAACATAAATATGATAGAGATAAGAGTACAATATTAACAACAAATAAGTCCACAATAGTATGACATTCCCTGGACATTAAATATAGGAAGTATTTGGTCATTACAGCACTAAATCTCCTAGAATTGAGTGAAAAGCCTCACCCTAAAGGATAGCACTTAATATGACTTAACAGTCTCCTATCTTGTTTCCTTTATGTATAATGGTTGAGCATCATAGAATCATAGTTAGAAAATGTCCAAGACATCATATGATGCATGATACAGATGAAGCGCAAGTAACATGCCTCTTAGTATGTAAAACTAATTTGTCTGTCCTAAGTTTAATATTGAAGCACATAGGGGCTCTTTGGAAACCAGCTTGGAGGGTTTCCAGTAAGTTTCCTGGAAATGGTCGAGAGATTTGTGCTGGGATGTTATCTAAGCTCTCCTAGGCCTCTCCCAGGCATCCTCTGTGCTTAGGGGCCAACAACTTTCCAAGGTAATCGCCTTCACATTGCCATTGAGGGGTTTCACTTTCTATCATAAGGGAGAAGCATCTCTCTGAGCCTGCTCAAGGTAGAAGAGTTCTGAT